ATACTCGCGCTGCTCAGGGGGTCGGTTGTGGAGAGAGGGGTAGGTTGAGGTGGAAACAGGGCTCTTATTCTCAAAAAAAGGAAACACGAAAACTGAATTTTAATGCTGAAATGTAGAGCTCTATATTGTCTCAAAAGTTTACAGAAACGATATCCTCAAATCTCAAAAGAATAAAAAAAAAGAACATTATTTGTACCAAGGGTGAGAGAGACAGAAATCAAAATAATATTTATTACAAAAATATAATATCACAATAATTATTAGGTGATGTACGCAGAGAGACCCAAAATGAAAGAAATATTATATAAAAAAAATGATATTAATGAAAATCCAAAACAAGAAAAGACTCGATACGAGTACACAAAGATTATCGGCCTATCCTAAATCGCAATAGTTTGTTTGGTTGCAGTCAGCAAAAAAAAAAAACAATTATTCCAAGAATCACGAATTAACCCTCGGATAATAGAGCGTATACAACAATAGCGATGAGAGAAAATCAGAAATCCCTAACGCAATACATACGCACGTTATGGAAGAACAGAAAATAATAACTCTACGCAACATAATTCCGAGAAAGCGCGGGCTCGCTCGACGAGAGCTTCATGCTAGCACGTGGTGGCTGGAGCGCCGGACGCGGCACATAACTCCACGGAGGCGCGACCTTGGGGCGAAAACCGTATAAAAATGTCCCTAACTAAGGCGCATTGCGCATGTAAAAGTAAATTGAATCCTAATAAAACGTCAGGGCACATGAAAATTAACGAACGCACAAAAAAATCCCATTTATCGGCACATTTCCAGCGAGGTGCAAGCGCAAGGCCAAAGGGCACAAAACTCGAAGTGAATGAGCTGGCGGTGAACGCAAAAAAATGATTTCTAATTACACAAAATAAAGTCCCGAGAATCGAAATAAACTCAATAAAAAAAAATCTGTAATCCACGGAGAATCCATTAATACAATGGAAAGCCTAATTACACGGTACATAATCGACCGAAGACCAACGGTGAGAAGCTCGAAGTGATCGAGTCGGCGGTAAACGCAAAAGTGATTCCGAAAATCCGAAAACTCACGATTTTTATCTTCAAAAATCTCGACGCGAAAAGTACGGGATATTCACGACATTCTAAATTCGCACGAGTGCGAGAGAGAGGTTCGAAAACCGCCAGAGCGGGAGGGACAGGCGAAAAATCCACCATCCTGTGGGAAAGCGCTAATGTGCATAAGGCACAAAAATGCAAAAATTAGGCGTTGTTTAGGCTCTACCGCACAGAGCATACTTCTGAAAAATAGCCAATCAAATTTCTAACGACCTCAGACGAGCATTTACTGCTGAATCTACCTAGAATTACGAAAAATCCATCACCAAATAAATTATGAGAAAAACTCACCAACGGTAATGCGCACAACTACTCGCCTCTCGGCTACGCAACAAAGTCCCCTAATCCCCCAAAGTAACGTTTCACGGCGTTACCAAAAATGTCCAGGTTACTCTCCCGCTTAATCTTTTCTCCTTTTACTATTTAACACCGAAAAATAGTCCAAAAACGCCCTAAATTGTAATTGAGCTCAACACGTGGTTGCACTAGGGCAATGATAATCACTAATAATGACACTCAATAGCGAATTGGCGCACGGATATGGACATAGACTCAGCGCCACGTGCGCCCGGATTGCGCAACAATTGTCACTAATTTCAATGCAAACTTTACGAAAGTAATTCATCCAAATTCCTCGACATGACTCCAATGTGATCGTCATTTTAACACAGCTATTTTTACTATATTTTCCTCGTCGGGAACACATTCTCGGGATCCCGGGGATAAAAGGAGCAGAATTCAAAACTCAAAGGCGCAATTCTAGTGCACAACGACTAATTATTTTCTTAGTTTCTCAATTAAACCGACTTTGGCGATTCACGCGGAATAACGGTCGAAATTGCACGCGTGACCTTCCACCTAAACCCAAACTAATCCACTTTGCTCCCCGCAAATGCCCTAACTGAGCGGCAGCATTTCAACTGCACCTAAGCATTTCTCCCGACGATTCTAATAAAAGAGAAAAATTCAACGGAATAATCACGCTGCTCGGTAATATCTCGGCCTGGGCAACAAAAATCCGAACGTCTTCCCCTAGTTATTGTCGAATTCCGAAAATCTACTCCAAGGCGTGAAATGGCAAATCTATCAACGACAGTGCTCAAAACGAGATTATTGATAGCGATAAGTGCAACAGAAACCGATGATAACCCAACACTCTAAAACGTATCGGAACTCGAATTTTCGAAAGAACGAAATACATAAAAAAAATCTGACTCGAAATTGAAAATACATTAATGGCTCGATTGGGTCATTTTTGCTGCGTACCTACACGTACCTACTCGGTAAATTTGAATGTTCTGCGGTGAGACAAGGGATTTCCCCAGAATCCCTTACAAATTCTAGCTTCAATTAAAATTCCCGCGATAGACTCGTAGAGCCAAGGCTTGGGTTCGCTTGGCTCATCTCGGCTCTATCGCTCGGCTGCGCGTGTACTACAACTGTCCCTAAAAACATTACCCCACTTGTATTAACATTCCCCCTTTTTCACACTTGTAACGTACTATACTATTTCTTGGTTCTGAAAGAAGTCAAACTCAGGAATGATGAGAACAAGTTTACTCATCTCTCACGAACATCAATTAAACTCATTATCAATGATACTGTACAAAGTGGTTCCCCGGTGAACTCACTAGCTTATTTTTCCATTGTTTCGAAAAGGATAATTTGGTTTTCTTGGTTCTGAAAGGTGTGCAAACTTGTTCTCGTCATTCCTGAGTTTGCACACCTTTCAGGACCAAAAAATGAATTTCCCGATTTAAAATAATTTTAAATAGGGCTGCCCACGAGACTCAAACGAGACCTCACTTTGGAGGAAAGGTCTTGGTCTTGGTGATCACTGAAACTTTCGGTATCGTCACAGTTTCAAAAGAGTAACAGTATCGGCTGTTCTCGTGATGACGCACAGTCAATTTATCTCATCTTGGTTTCAAGTTTTTCGCATTTTTTATGTGTAAAAGACTGGGACGAGACGAGCGAGACTTAAACCGAAACATTATATTGACGAAGTACGTGAAACTTGAGACTGAGATGAGATAAATCGACTGTGATTCATCCAAGTAATTTTTCGTATGGCTGTGCTAGTTTAATAAAAAAAATTGGCACAGCCTTGAAAAACAAAAAAATTAAAGAATTCGAAATTTCCATCCACCAAATTCGAGTGTGATGCATTGGCTATGCTAGCTTTTTATACCTCGAACAACGAGGTGAAAAATATGCGAACAGCGGGATCATATGCATTTTGCGGGTGTATTAACAGCGAGGTTCTACTGTATCAGTAATATTTTTTTGTCACTGAAGTTTTATTTATTAGGTGTATGACTTAATTCTCGGTCTTTTTTCAACAATTTTGACATGTATTTATGAAAAAAACAAATCCATATCTAATCTTGAAAATAAGCGCCGTCACTTTGGAAAGAAGATGTTGGTTTTGACTGGATGAAGTCATCAATGCGCTGCCGAACTTCTTCAGAAGATTGGAACTGGGTATCCACCAGGTCATGTTGTAGCGCCCGAAAAAAGTGACAGTCAGAAGGCGCCAGGTCTAGAGAATACGCCGCATGTGGGAGAATTTCCCACCCCAACGTGGCGATAACTTTCAGGGTTTCCTTTGTTGTATGTGGCCGCGCGTTGTCCTGCAGCAAAATTACTTGCCTCGTACCACTACCAGTAAAAGGTCTCTTTTCCTCAATAGCATCACTTAATTTCACCAGTTGGTCCTGATAACGCTTAGCAGTGACGGTTTTCCCCCTGTTCGAGTATCTCCTAACAGATTCCACCTTTGGAATCCCACCAAATACACAACAACAATTTTTTCCCGTGAATGTTCGGTTTTGCAGTACTCGTTGACGGCTCCCCCGGATAAACCCACGACTTTCGCCTCTTAGGATTGTCGTAAAATATCCACTTTTCATCCCTTTCATTCATAAAAAGTCTTTTTGTTTAAATCTGGTCAGTAGACACATAGCAATTTCACAGCGTGGACATTTGTTTTCTGAGGTAAGATGATGGGGCACCCTTTCTTCTGTATCTTCCCAATTCCTTTTAAACGCCTCGAAATAGCTGATTGCATCACTCTGAGAGTATCCGCAAGCTCCTGGTGTGTTTCATAGGGATTTTCATTGAGTAGGGTGTCCAACTTCTCGTCCTCAACTTTTTTTGTTTGCCCAGGACGTTCTTCATCCTGGAGATCAAAATTTCCATCCCGAAATTTTTTGAACCAATTTTTATTTGTGCTATAAGATACAGCACTCTCTCCCAAGACTGAACAAATCATTTCTTGTGCTTCTGCAGCAGTTTTTCCAAGTAGGGAGGTGAAAAGAAGGGAGTGCTTCAAGTACTGCTTGTCGAACGATGTTTTTATTTACTATGTGTTTGAAGTTATGTTAATCGGACCACAATCGGACTTGAGTGGTTTGATAGCTCACAGATGGCGCTTCTAAACGTCCTTTATTGCGGGAAAATTTTTCAATTCAAATAGGTGTTCTAATCATCTTAATCTAGGGGCCAAGAATTAAGTCATACACCTAATATTTCAACTCTTATAACTTTCATTTTATTTACCCTTGTCAAAAGTGACATACTACATTCTTCATCATTTTTCTTATCAATTATTGTCTGTTTGGTCGAATTAAGAAATAGTAACTACAAATATGAGAAATGATTAATCCATCCATATGACGCACCAATTTGAGGGGCTGACGTAACTCCCTAGGAATGCTTTGTCGCCGACAAAAAAAACGTAAACCTTAGATTTTTATGAGGAATAACATATTTCGTACTCATCAAATCGGCGAGGTATACCTGGGACGGTTTCCTTCTAAGCTGTAATCCCCAAGCAGTTCCCGCAAATAATCTCATCAAATCTAGATTTGCAATTAAAGTTATAAAACTAATGCTTTCAGATTACTATACCAAATCTCACAATGAATACAATGTACGAACTGATGGTTTGCGCTGGTACGAACAGTTCCATCAATCCACACCTGACAATACGTGGCAACTGCAGTATACCTAGAAGTCAACTGGTAGCACGTAACTGTGATAAAGCACCTTCTCTAATGCGTCATAGTACAGACGAACTAAGTGCAGGGGTAATAGCTGGAATGATTTGCGCATGTTTCGCTGTTACGCTTACAATCACTGCACTGGTACTATGGAGGTAAGGCACCATTATTATTTTCTACAATATCTTCTCATTTTTCCTATCACTTTCATCGATAAGAAAAATTTTGAATTGGTAATCGAGTGAATAGTGGAGTTCAGTTGTGGATGAATATATAAAAATAGACAGATCACGTAGTATTGAAGACTACAGGATGAGTCATATCTTTGTCCATAAGTAATTATAGTTGATATCAACGGCCATTTCGATTCACAAGCAATTGTGATTGTCTGCCACGAACAATCAGTCGAGTGTTGAACGTTGATATGACGTATAATTTTATGATTTTGAGTATTCAATTTTAAATGTGAACAATTGTTAATGATAATTTAATGCTGCCAAGTTTTGTACATTATGATGGAAAACACGTTGAACAGAATTCCGTAAGGATAATGATCTGTTATTACTGAATCTAGTTATTACTGAATGAGTATTTAATTAATCACGAGCAATTCGCATTATTTTATATTTTTACTTCATCTGTTGGAAATCCTGTCAGCTAACAGGGCACTCACACATGCACACGCGCGGCTCATCCATTCTCTCCCCACTCACGCACACCTGTCGCGCTGACCTCAGATGACCGGGGGTTATTAATTCGGACACCTGAGGCGCCACGTCCTGGACAGCTCTTTATTACCTATTGATCTATATTTAGATTAGGTCAGTGACCACCGAATTACGGCACGTGGCACCTGTAAGCCCGTGACTCTCTCTCATTCGTTTCCGGGATCTAGTTAAAGACACTTCTTTTATTGTACTACTCATCTCTAGTGACTCGGATTAACTCATTGCGTCAGCTCAGTTATTATTAATTCAAGGAATTAGTCGGCTCATTATTTACGGTCTGCTCAGTGACTCTATTTATTGTGACAGTGTAAATAACTATAAATATTGAACAATTATACGGTGTTTTGTGAAATCAAGTGCACGTGTCCGCACATTTTTTGACCTGCTCATTCACTCCCGGAAAGCCATTTTCCACCTGCCCATCCGCTCTCAATTACCACCGATCCAGGCATCTCATCAAACATTTTGGTCCTTAGAGCCGGATCGGTGGAATATTTTTCGGATTTGTGGGGTATTTCTTTCGGTTTTTGGTTTTTTTTTGTTGGGTTTTGGCGGAAGTGGAAGTGACGCGTTCAGTGGTGCTCAACCTACGGAGACCAGCTCGTTGGCTCAGCGCACGCAGTGGACCTCAACCAGTCCAGCTCTCCAATCATCAGGGAACTGCATTACCGGCCCGCGGGAATATTTGAATTTTGGAGCAGCTCATCCCCGGGACTTTGGACTTTTTTCTCAACTGCAGCGTTCCTGCACTGGTCCAGCTCAACATCACTCACTCGGCTAAGTAGCATTTAATTACCTCTTGCTACTTTTGCCATTTTTTTTAAAATTTTTTGGAGCATTCAACTTTGTTTTTTTTGGCTACCGCTCCCTTTATATTTTCCAACCCTTTTTCGTTTTTTTTTTTTTGAATTTTTTAATAAATTCTTGCGCCTGCTCAACGAAACCGCTCACTGCTGCTACCTACTAAATTAAGATTCTTCGGTGTTATTACTGTTGCCGCTCAACCGACCGGATACTTAATTTTATCGCTTCTCACTGCTCACTGCTCGGCTTTTGGGGTCGCTTTACTCAGGTTTTTTCCGGTTTATTCCTTTTTTGAGCTGCGCACTTATTTTCAATTATGGCATCATTTGAGGCGACCATTAGCCTGAATAACTCTCGGGCAGCGTTCATCGAACGCGTTTACAAGGAGCTGCTCACAGAAGAGGCGAAAAGCCTCACAATCTCCAATCTCCAGGGTAAACTCGAGATCCTGGAGACCTACTGGGAAAAATTCGAGAGCACTCATGAGAAGCTCATCGCTGGCAGCGGCAAGATCGAAGGGATCCTTGAATTGCCGTACTTCAAGGACCATCGGTTCGACATTACTATCGGGCATTATCATGAGGCAAGGGGTATTTTAAGCCAGCTCATTGATAAAAGGGGGATCTCAGGTTCATCTCGTTGGTCTCTCGCGTCTGGGACGGCTCAGCCCACATACTCCAAGCGTTATCTCCCTGAGATTTCTCTGCCCAAGTTCGGAGGGGCCTATGCGGACTGGCGCTCGTTCCGCGATCTTTTCGCGTCTCTGGTCGGCTCGAATACGGATCTATCCAACGTGGAGAAGATGCATTATCTTCGTACTAGTCTCTCAGGGGAGCCAGCTCAACGCATCGCGAATCTTACGATCTCGGATGAGTCATTCTCGATTGCATGGGAACTGCTCTTGTCTCGCTACGAGAATAAGCGACTGCTCATTTCAGCTCATTTGGAACAACTCCTCAGTCCCCCAACCATGACTTCTCACAGTGCCAAAGAGCTCAATGCCCTGCTCACTGTCACCTCTGAGGCACTGAACGCTCTGGAGGCTCTCGGCTCCCCAACCTCCCAGTGGGACCAGGTGATCGTACATACGGTCTCGCAACGGCTCAGCTCAAAGCTTCGTGAAGCCTGGGAGGTCAAGGTCGGTTCATCGGCGGAGTATCCTTCATACAAGGACTTCAAGGATTTCCTCACTGGGAGAGCTCGCGCGATGGAGAGCATCGAGATTAACTCGGCTCCTCGTGCTCCTGCTACAAAGCCCTCCAATGCCAGCTCATCCAAGCAGTCGACCGCTGCGAAGGTTCACCACGGCACCGCTCAACCACCACAAAAATCGAGGCCAGCTCCCAAGTCCGCTCCATCGGGGAAGGTCACGTACCCGTGCTCGATGTGTGAGGCAGACCATTACCTCACATCCTGCTCATCCTTCCGTCAGTTTTCGGTATCAGCTCGTAGGGAGGTAGTAGAGCGTCGCTACCTCTGCTACAGTTGCCTTGGTCGGCACTCGGTGAGGGACTGCAGGTCTAAGACCAAGTGCAAGTATTGCGGGGGCCTCCACCACTCGATGCTCCACAACCAGCCATCGAGTCAGCCTCAACGTCCAGCTCAGCAGAGGCAACAGACCAACTCAACCCAGCAAAAGGCCGTTCCGGTGGTGACCTACACCCACGAAAACGACATCCCCAAGGTGGTGGCTGGTGACCAAGGTCAGTCAAGGNGCCAGTCAACGTCGTCGGAATGAAGATCACCAGCTCAGATTGCCGTCTCCTGCTCAGGTCACCACTCAGATTCCGGATCCGCTCCAGACTTCCGCCCTGGGGTCCTTCTGGCTACCAGCCTTGCGCTTTTGGTACGCCCAGATCAACCAGCTCATCAGGTTCGTCTACTCATCGATCCAGGGTCGGAAATCTCCGTCATCTCAGACCAGCTCGTTCGTCAGCTTGGGCTGTTAAGGCTCAAGACACAGCTACGAATATCGGGGATTGGAGACACGGCATCTGGGCCGGCATTAGGCAAGGTTCGGCTCACAATACAGTCCACTTGCTCTCACTTTTAGCTCAGAGTTTCTGCCTATGCTCTCGGCCAGCTTACAACCTCATTACCGACATTCTCACCAAGTCAGCTCACATGGGATCATCTGGAAGGATTCCAGCTCGCTGATCCCGATTTTCTCACACCAGCACCAATTGACATCCTTCTTGGCGTTGATGTCTATGGACAGCTCATCTTACCACAAGTCATCACCAATGGACCAAACTCACCATCGGCTCAGCTCACGCGACTTGGATGGATCGTATTCGGACCAACGGAAGGTCCTGATACTACTCAAGTAGCAACTTCTCATCTAACGGTCACCAACGAGGATCTCAATGAACTGCTCACCAAATTCTGGATCCAGGAAGAGATCCCTGGGACACTAGAGGTTCAGCTCAACGAGGAGGAAGCGCAGTGTGAAGAACACTTTCAACGGACCCACTCACGAGATTCATCTGGCCGCTACATCGTTCGGATACCGCTCAAATCTCCAGTTTCCTCGCTAGGAGATTCACGATCGTCTGCACTCGCTTGCCTCCATCGTCTGCTCAGGAAACTCTCACGTAATGAGGTTTATCGTCAGCTCTACACGGACTTCCTCAGGGAATATGAAGGGCTCGGCCACATGCGTCGAGTCTCCGGACAGCTCGCTAGATCAGCTCATCAGCGCCAGTTCAATGGGGGGGGGGGGACGGGCACCGAAATGACCTTAGCACATGAGGCCTCGGCTTCAGGAGGGTTGAGGGTTTCGGGCCGTCCGTGTTCTTCTCGGGCTGACGCTCCTCCGGAATATTTCTTCCCTCATCACGGAGTTCTCAGGGCGAGCAGTGAGACAACGAAGCTCAGAGTTGTTTTCAACGGCTCCAACAAGACCAGCTCAGGACAATCGTTGAACGAGATTATGCACATGGGTGAGAAGTTGCAGAAGGATATCTTGGATGTACTTCTCTTTTCTCGGCGGAAACGGCTCATTTTCATGACGGACATAACCAAGATGTTTCGTCAAATTCGGGTACATCCGGAAGATTGGCCACTCCAACAAATACTCTGGACCGACTCAAACGGAGATATCGCCACCTATCAACTCACCACGGTCACATATGGCACTAGGTCAGCTCCGTTCCTCTCAATGCGTGTTCTTCATCAGCTCGTTGAGGATGAAGGATCGAACTATCCTCTCGCTGTGGAACCGCTCATGAAAGGACGATATGTTGACGATATCTGCGGGGGTGCTGACTCAGATGAAGAGCTACTCAGGACCGCTCATCAGGTGACACAGCTCTGTCTGTCAGGAGGCTTTCCGCTAGCCAAATGGCACTCAAATAGCCCAGCTCTACTCACATCTCTTCAACCTGACAGCACCTCTCAAGAACAACGATTCATAGAGGACTCACTCACTAAGATTCTAGGGGTTTCTTAGCATCCTGGAACGGACAACTTCAAGTTCTCCATCACTCAGCCTGAGACCAGCTCAATAACGAAGAGGATCATTTTATCAGAAACGGCTCAACTCTTCGATCCACTGGGTTTCCTAGCGCCAGTGGTCATACGAGCGAAGATATTGCTCCAGGCTCTATGGATCGAGAAACTGG